GGGGGGGGGGGGGGGGGGGGGGTGGAATTTGTGGAAGGTTTCGCCATTTCATTTCTTTACTTTTTTTTGTCGCCCATCATTGGACTCTGTCGTTTGTCCCTCTGGCCTCTGTCCTCCACTTCTACCAGCTAGACGACCCAACCGGGGTCACACAGGAGGGGGGGGTTGGACCCTCTCCTGCGGTCCCTGCCTGAGATTTTTTTATCGCGAGAAGGGTACAGAAATCCCTTCCCTCGCGACTTACAAAGTCGATTATGATTTACCAACAACGACCTTTGCAGCGCGTCGCTTTCATCCTAGACCAGGATATATTTAGTGAGAAAAACTTCACGCTGTCGGGACTCGAACCCATGACCTGGCCCTTAGCAGGCTTCGAGGGTATCCACTAGATCACCGGGGCGACCGGTTATTGTATGTATGCGTGTGAATTTCTCCCACCGAATCGGTAGCATGGATGTAGGTGGATACTTCCTGCTGACCTGTTCTCTTGCCGACATTTATTGTGTGTTCCGACGTGGGGGATGATTCTTTGGGGCTGGCTGTTGCAGGGCGCGACCGACTACGTCCACAACCCTTACGGCCTTCTGCGGTCCCCCTGGAATGTCGATGGGACCCCGTTCGTCACCCGCTTCAACTTGACCAACGGCGAGGTGAGTTTTACATTGTAGCCGCTTCGGAGAATTGGCGTTGCCGCGCGGACGCCGACCTCTCGCCCAGTCGTGTCAACATGTCGTCGAGGGTGTATCATAGGTGTGCAGTCGCCTATAATCGTGCAAACCTTTCTGTCCCTTGTATTAACCGCGAACGTTGAGAATCCCAACAGCCGCCGCGGTTTAACAATGGGTTTGTGTCCATCGTGCCCGGTCCCGTTTTTTTACGCGAAAACGCTCCGATTTTCCTGGAAGTGGTTGTTTTTTCTGATCCATTCTCGGTACAAGGAGTAAAACATGCCGGTAGAGGGGTTGAACTGGTCCCTATGGCGTGAAAATGCGGCTCAAATACCATTTTGGCTCGTAAAGAAATTCCAAGGCGTCTTAGTGCACGCCCGCTGCTGTTGCTTCTGATGCTGCTGCTCGACCCGTGTACGTATCGAATAGTGGCACTGCCCTGAACAATGGCATATTATCCGCTTACCCCTACACTTGACTATATCGGGCCATCCGCTCCATGCACACAGGGGAAACGTCCGTGTCTGCTGTAGGACCACGCAAGAAGGTTTCCAACAACGACCCCGCGCAGCAGCAGGCAGGGCTACACGCACCCACGCACGGATAAAACTGGCTAGCTCTCTTTTTTTTTCACGCCAAACGTCGCCCCAAGGCCGCCTGGATGAAACTGATGTGTACTACATATATCCACCGACAGGCTGCTTACTTTCCGCGTCACGAAAATATCACTCAAAAACGTGTGCTGCATAGCTGCGAACAAACAAATCGACCGAATTTCGATCGTCACAAATGATCACTCACGACGTATGTGTGCAGCGGGCAAAACAAACGGATCATGAAATTTTCACTCACAACGCGTGGTGGCTGCGGGCAAAGAAACGGATCATGAAGTAATCATTCATATCACGTGGAGGTTGCGCTGCGGAACCAACGAACGAATCCCTATCGTCCATGAAAACACATTCGCAACGTTGCTGTCGGACCCGCAACAAACGTCTCTCGGCCGTCCATCAAATGATTACTCACGACGCATGTGTGCTGTGCCGTGCTGCGGAACCACCTCGATCGTCGAACCAAACTACACCGCGTCTGCAGGATAAAACCTCAATGGTGTCCTGCGAGACTTACCAATCCTGCTTCGATGCGACGACGCTCGCCACCATGAACAACTGCCTGAACGGGGGCACCCACGGACCGGTGCACATCAAAGTGGGGGGGGAGTGGAACGACCCCGAGGAGGACATGGCGACCAAGCTAGGTACGAAAGTGGTGTTTTTATTTGTTCCTTTTCAAAATCGCAACAAATGTTAAACACACAAATGTCTTGACGGCGTCATGCCATGTACTCGTTTTCCCCTTTTTCGAAACTCTCAACGCCTCCACAAACCACAGATTCAAACACGTACATACTGTACTTTTCCGTCTTCAGCAGATAGGAAGAGTAGGGGACAGAGCAGGAATATTGTTCCATATCGAACAATGGCCCGATGTACCGTACTCGGATGGTTCGATGTATAACCCGTAGGTGTGTACAATGATCCGGTCACCGAATCAATATACCGAAGACAAGTCTGGTAATTCTCCTTGCGTGATTATCTAGGTACTGTTGTTTACAGCAGCCGATATTACTATTTACTTGACATCGAGTGTTCCAACACGTGATACCGACGGAACAAGCAGTCGATTTTTATAAGGGTGTATGATGGACAATACACACGCAGGAACCGCAGAAGGGGGTCCCCCCCCCCCCCTCCTCTGTGGTCCCGGTTGGGTCGTCTAGCTAGTAAAAGTGGAGGATGGGGGCCAGAGGGGCAGACGACAGAATCCAATGATGGGAGAAAAACAAAAAATGCGGTTTTGTTCATAAATGTGCGCTTGATTCTTTCGGGGGGATTTGGGCTTGGCGCAGGATACACTAGCGCCATCCCACTCTTGACCAAGTTCCTGTGGAGAAAGGGCTACCTCCGCACGCCCGAAAGCTGTACTGCTGAGGAGGACGGGGTTGGAGACTCTTCCACCTGCCGCGCCGGCTGCCCGGCAGAGGTACATCCTGACTTAGTACCGGTGTAGTGTCTACGTAGACACAAATATGCATACCCTGGTTGTGCGTTTCAGAGGCGTGTTGTACCCGCTGTAGTCTATACACGTGCGTATACATGTGCTTGTCGCAGGAAGACGCGTACGTACCTCGTGTTCTCGTCAAGCGTTCCGTTACCTTTCCTTCGCCGGTCGTCCTACCTTAAGCCATCATCCTTGCTTACTTCATTTCTGTCCTTCCGTTTGCTTCTTTGTCGAGCCCATTAAAAACGTCCGGGATGATGTAACGGTCTCCACGAAGGGAGGCGTTATTCACGGTGCCACGGCTTGTTTCTTGACGTTTTTTCGGAAGGTTTTGTTTGTTGGTCTGATGATCACCCGTCGGCCTGAAAACGACGTTCCTTCTTCTCGTTCTTTCGTCCATCTGTATTTTTTCAGGTGTACGAGAACTTGGGGATGACGCCGTACGACGTGCTCATGGACATCTTCTCCCTGCACTGGATAGCAAGGTTATCTGGTGGAATCATCGTGAGTGGGCGGGAAGGGCGGAAGGGCCTTTGATCGCGCTTTTTTCTATTTAGTTCGAAGCATGCAACGCGATCATACATGACGGACAAGAAAAAAAGTAGGGTGAAATGGTTCGCGAGCTCCGTGGAAGAGATAGATTCGGTGCGATTTCGGTAAGAAAATTACAAGCAGGACTACCACGCGCTAGCTAGCCAGTACTTTTGCTTGCGGGTAGGTGTACGAAGAGGCTGACGACCTTTTTCGATCACTACAATCACATGTGCATCAACACCAACAACCCACTTGCGGAAGTCGGGCCTTCTCTATACGAGGGTGATGTGATAAAGGCCCTCGACCCTCTTTGTTTCGGAGCCCCCTCTCGTAGTTCGGAAAAAGGTTATGCCCGACTGTGCTGTTGCGGGTCAAGTCCGTGGCAACCAATTTCGACCATCGGAGCTCCCTTTGATGTATCGAAGCCTTGACTGCTGTAAAGCAACAGCTTGCTAATGGTTTGCATGTGTGCGAAGAGGCTAATGACCGTTTCTCTAGCAGACCGTCAGCATCTTTAGACCACTCCATACAGTAGCATCAACGGTAGAAGAGAAAAAATGTAGTGATTCTGTGCGAACAACACAAATGAACAATATTAGGCTACTAACGCGATAGCTGTGCTACTTGTCTACAGGTGTACGAAGAGGCCTTGATGAACCCGTTTCTCTAAACGAACCATCAGCGTCTTCCGCTCATTACAATACAGCAGCGTCAACACCACGAGCTGCAAACAATGGTGTAAGTCTGGGCTAACGCGATCGCTACGCTACCTATCTGGTTGCAGGTGTACGACGAGGCACATGACCGTTTCGTCGTTGCGGGGCACGAAGAAGACGAGGCCTTCCAAAGCGTGATCTGGAAAACGGTCCTTCACTCGCTCTGCGACCCCGGGTACGTCCGGCGGGGGTGGGGGTTGTATGGCTGCTGCGTGTTGCCGTTGGCCGTGGTCGCGCGTGTTTTGTGGGGGGGGACGCCTGCTCACTCCCCTCCGAATGTTTTTGTGTGTACGAGGCGCGCCTTCGGAGTGGGATTATGGAAGCAACAGAGCTGACAGTAGAAGCATGTTTTGGGGTGTGACTGTGAAATGTGATGGGTGACGTTCACCCAAGCTTGGACAGCTCACAGAGCCGGCGTGTTTTTTAACTCTGAAGTGCCCAACGAACCGAAAAAGAAAAAAACATAAATCTGTACAACATTAAATATCAACCCTTCCTCCGGCTGCATGTGTCCCTACCCCGCAGGCACGTCGGCGAGCTGTACACGTCCTCGGCGCCGTATGACCCCCTCTTCTGGGTCATCCACCCCACCGCCGAACGTTTCCTCTCTTGGAGGAGAAAGCTGGCCACCGAGAGACCCGACGTGTGAGTTTGCTTCCCCGAATACGGAAAAAAAAATAATGAGTTGTGCAACGAAACGCTCCTGAAACCGTCTCGCAACATGAGGAACCCGCCTGTGGTTAGGTTTGACGAAAAACGGTAAAAGGCGTTACGAAATAAGGTGTACCACCTTTCATCGGACCTATGTGTGCATGTTGTGTTCCCAGCATTTGTGCGGGTTGCAGTTTTCCCCCAAAACGAGAAGAGAAGAATCGAGGGTGGTGACCAGCTTCTGGTTCATCCTTTTGAAACGTACATAAGCCTAGGCCGATATATTAGGGATGCGAGGACAACGGTCTGACGGCTATTGCGTATGCGTTTACATGATTATCGCCCCCCCTCCCCCCCCCTCTCCAACACCCGATATTTTTCGCTAGGTGGGCTCTGGACGAGACCTGGGGCTACTCTCACGGCCACGTCGTTGGGGAGACCGGTGTGGTCTGCGACTGGTCCGGGGTGGGCGATGACTTTCTCGACATGCCCTCGTGTGTGAGGGGCATCTGCGGGGGGCACGGCGTTGACGACATGCTACCCTTTGAGATCAAGGTACATCCGCCCCCTCATAACACCTTTCGCACTTCATTTACATTTAAATCTAAATCAACCACAATTTCTGCATAACCTAAATTTCTACTTCATCCCCGAACAACTCCTATATTTATTGTGATTCAAAGAAGGATGCTACAATAGGGGCTTCCCCCTCGGTCACATGGAGTGTTTTGGTGGGCTGGTTTGTACTGCCTTAACAAATGGAAAAAATGCTTTTTGTTTTGCACACCGCGAGATATACACCAGGCAGCTGCCTGGGCAGAACATATTTGCTTGAAATGCAAAAATTGAGAGAGTTGTGAGCATATTGATGGACCTTGTCGGGCGACAGCATGTGACCCATGTCTTAAAAAGTGTTCCCCCTACCGTAGCATTGCTCTCGAAGATTATTTTTAGTCTAATTTTACATGAAAAGGTAATGTATTCGAAGGTTTTCAGGAGATGAATGCACCCCCGTACGCAAGACAATCCCCAACCCGTCCCCTCGGATGCGCACATGGATGCCCGCCGCGTCTTCCCCCTTGCACGTGATGTTTGGGCCGATCACACCTCCATGCCTTCTGTTTCCGACAGCACCTAGGAACTTTGCTGCTGACCGCACGCACCCCCCTCCTCTTGCCAAAATGCCGGAGATGTTCAAATCTTCCTTCTGGCAGACACGCGCTGCTCTTTCTTTCTCGCTACGCCGTTTCAACCTCTTGCTTCCTTTACATGCCGGCGCCTGTTCCGCCAGGTGAAGGGCGAAACGGTTAAGATGACCAACCTGGAGTGGTATCAGTTCATCTATCCCGACAACGACGATCTTCCCTACATGTACAACGAATTTGCCTGGGATCACTGCGCGTGAGTTGTTGCGGACAAATCCTAAAGTTGCTGGTCGCGGGGGGGGAGTGAATGACATGTCGGCGCAAGATTGCATTGTTTGTCTTCGTTCGAGGGAAAAGGGAACAGCAGACGAATCCTTGCGCGTCATTGCTTCCGGGACTTGATGTATCTCCATTGCAAGCGAAATCGACGAGTGGAAGTAACTATTTACGAGCACGCATTTTCTATCTCCACACGAGCACCAATTCATGTCCCCGTTGTCATGCCCCGCTGAGAATCGATGAGGCGTCGTTGTGCGGTCCTTGATTAGTGAGCACGACACGTTTGTCGGCGGTGGTTTCGCGGTACGCATATGACACTGATATGCTGTCCCAGCTTGGACAGCTATCTGTTGCCCGTTTCAGAGTAGGGGCACATCGGGTGGAGAGCACCCCTGCTGCCGGGACATGTTGTCGCTCGCTTTCGCTCTGTTGTGTTTTTTTTTTGTCAAATTCGCGTTGTTGTGCTATGTATTGTCCTCTTGGTACCCCTTTTCTACACCGTGTCGATCTGTTTTGGCGATGTCATTGGCCTCGCCACCGACACTTTGATGTTGGCCTCCCCCGCTCCATTCTTTGCCTCCCCCGCTCTCGTGTCGCGTCGTGTTTTGTGTTATTCTTCAACCCCACAGGGCCAATGGCGACTATATTGGTACTCCCGAGATGAACTAGAAGGTGTCGCGGGAACGAGTTGAGGTACCTACGGTACCACCAGGCGGTCAACATGCGTACAGCGAGTGTGGTCTTTGAACTGCCTTCCCACGAGTAGCATTAACCTACTAGGAGTATGTGTTGACAGAGGCCACTTCTCCGTAGTATGCTTTTGTGAGGTTGTCGGCCCGACGTCCTGGGCGTCGAAAACCGGGCTTGTGCTGGCCCCGCGAAAAGTCTATGCACTGCGTGGAAAGGCCGCCAGCCCCGTGTTGGGTGCTTGTGGCGGCGGCGGTGGCGGCGTCCGCGCAAGAATTTCGGAAGCGGGTGGCGTGCTTGCCTGCTGCTGCTGCTGGTGGTCTCTCTCTCTGACGGGGACACCGAGAAGAGAGGACAGCGAGTGGGAGATTTGTCAAGCAGTTTCATCGCTCGAATGGGTCCGGTTTTCATGCACGAAATAGTTGTGACGTTGCGCCCGACACTGACTGGTCGGTCGCCGGCAGCAAAGGTGGTTGGGCGGGGTCCCCTGGCGGCCAGCCCTGCGCAACAATTCCTGATTGTGTTGGTTCCCCAGCCTGCCATCCCCAAGTCGATGCGACTCGCTCCGCTGCTTTTCGTGCGTGGTCTCCAGTCGAGTTGTCAACAGTTGCCGCCGAAGCGTGCCGTCGCAAAACTTGTGGCGGCTTTTGACTTCCTTTCCTTCTTTAAATACCGCTCTTCGTCCTCTTTTGATGCGTGGTGCACCCAAGCCATCAGCCGCGCTGTGGCTGTCTTTCGCCAGGTGGTAGGTGCGATGTTTTGTGTTCATGCTCACGTTTCGCTTGCATCTTCTTCGTTTTCTTTTGTGACTCCTTTTACCTGTACGAGAAGTTTGGCTGGTGGGAAAAGGATCGTCCCAACTCTAGTCACGGGGTTGACAGACGCAGAGAGAGTTGCAGCAGTAACGCCCACCTGTCAGGATCTTTTCGTGGTGGTCTGAGTGGAGATTGTTTGTAGTTTCGCTTCTGTGTCGTCGTCCAGCTTTTTCTTGACTGTTGTTGCATTACGAGGCTGACTGGTAGAAAGAGCACTTCTAATTCTAATCAGCGGTCACGGGTCTTGGAAGCGTGTTGACGTAACCGCAACGTCCACCTGCGGGGATCCATCTTCTGTTTGTGGTTTGGAGTTTTGACGCCTTTGGTGTGCATGTGTGATATTTTTTTCCCTTAAAATTGTTAACTTGAATTGAAGGAATTGGGGTTTGTTTACCATCAAATGTACCAAGCATGGTTTTATGTGTTTTTCGATAATTAGACTAGTTACATTTCTTTCGTTGTATTTTTTGGCTTGCTTCGAGCTTCTGTTTTCAGTTTTCGTTTTTTCGGGGATATGGGATTGGACGGACTCCTGGAGCTGAGTTTCGTGTTATACCAATAGGATGTATATTCCCCAAGGTTGGTTGGGTAAGGTAGGACCGAGAGGCACACCGGCGGTATGTACCGTGCCGAGAGTCTCGGCACGCTTCGGTAAACTTTCAATACCTTACCGAAAATATCGGTATGCTTCGGCAAGCTTTCAATACCTTACGGAAATTCTCGTTATACCCTTGACAAATACCAACGGTGCCGGTACACCCGCTTGACAAATACCGAGGTAGGTGCCGGTACCGGCACAGACCTCGATACCCTTGACGACGTGGCGGCACGTTGTGACGTCACTCTCTCCACTCACCACACAAATGCTGTTGCCTCTACCTACCGAACACCACTAGACCGTGCCTGTCTGGGTACACGCGATAGATATACCGAGCACCGAGCACTCATGAGTAGTGTGGCAACCTCTCAGCGTTAGGAGGGTCTGGGTGGGCTTGCAACATGGCGCGATTTGTAGGGTGCTGTACTCAAGGCACCAGGATTGGCATCGAGTGTAAGGCTACATGTGTTGGTGCGTCTGTTGTAGCGAAGCGCAACCAACCGCTGCTTTGCAGGTGACGAACAGCAGAGCCGCTGACATGGATGGTGTAGCGGCACACGAGCAGGGAGATATTGGTTGCATGGCGATCGGGAGGTTTACGTTTCAACTTTTTATTGCACCATGGACGCACAACAATCCCAAAGCTCGAAACTGCTGTAAAATACGTTCGGTAGTGGCATATCCTTGACAATACCGGCGTGCCGGTACTGGTACCGGTACAGTCACAGTTTTCCATACCTTACCAAATGTCTCGGTACGCTTGGTAGACCTCCATACCTACCGAGAAGGCCGTTACAGACTTCCATACCTACCGAAAATCTGGCGAAAATCTCGGGATGCTTCGGTGATGTTTCAATACCTTACTGAAATCTCGGTACGCTCCGGTAAAATTTCAATACCGTACCGAAAATCTCGGAATGATTCCGTGATATTTCAAAACCTTACCGAAAACCTCGGTATACCCTTGACAAATACCGAGGGTGCCGGTATTGACTTTGGAAATATGTCAATACCTTACCGAAATCTCGGTGGGTTTCGGTAATATTTCAATACCATACCGAAATCTCGGTACGCCTCGGTAGTGTTGCAATACCTTACTTACCGAAAACCTCATTATGCTTCGGTAAGATTTCAATACCTTACCGAGCGTGCCCGTACCTTGCCGAACACACCAACCCTTGGAAATTTCCCTTGCCAAAGGCTTCATATGCCAAGTGGTTGTCGTTGGCTTCGATAAGTCGATTTGTTCATTTGCTCACTGTAGACCGCCATTGGTTGAAAAACCAGCAGTAAGGAGGGTAGACCTACATCTATATGGACGGGTTGAAAGTTCCCCAATAGTGCCATGTGTGTATATATGTTGTGTGTTTTTTGTGGTGGTGCACTTCACTCGCATTTTATTAAAGATAGATGTGCTTCTCCGGCGGCGCGGAAGTCGTCAGCAACAATATCAAAAGCTAACGTGCGTGGGCACACGAACGAATGACATGAAACAAGGTTTTCGTGTGATTGAGAGCGAAGTTTCTGATTGAGAGCGAGATTGCGCGATGCGCTGTAGCTGGACTACCGCTGAGAGGTGGAGCTTGCTGCGTGACTTGAATTGAAGGCCTAGCCCGTAGCTACAAGCCGATACCCTGGTCATCCTGTGGGCGTCTCTCGTTGTGGAGCTACAGCGGGGAGCAGAATCTACAGCAGAGCTCACCGCCCGCGATCAAATCGCCCTGAAACAGTTTGAGGCAGGAATAGCCATCTGGGGAAATCTAGTAACTTGTCTAGCTCCTAGCTGCAGCATCCGATCGCGATGACACGCATATGCTCGTGACGCTGCTGATGAGACCTTAAGAGCCCGCCCCCTACTTCCCAAGAAATGGCAAGAGGCGTCTGGACCCGAAATTTCAATTTTTTGGGCTCCCGCTCTCAATCATATACTCCGCTCTCAATCAGGCGAAAACCCTGTTATGAGTGGTATGTGATTTGGTGGTGTTTCGCGGTTCGTCGTCATGAATGTATTTGTGTGTGTCTCTTTTTGTGTGGTGGTGCACTTCACTCGCATTAGATTAGAACGTGCTTCTCCGGGGGCGCGTAAAGTTGTCAGCAAAACGATCAAAACTAAAATCAACCCCCCGTGAGTAATCCCCTTCCCTATCCCCACGGCGGGCAAAAGTGGACCTCGTTCTGAGAAGGCCACGACGTCGTACACGTACGTTTGTCTACCTGCAAGAAAAAAATAACGAAAACAAGAAACTCGAACGAAGCCGAAACGACACGAAAAGTGATGTAACAAACTTTACTACGAAATTTTGATGACGAGACAGCCTTGCTTCGCCTGAAGGCTTTTCATACCAATAGGATTCGGAGACGGTTTACCTTCAAGCTGGCTCGTTTTCTGTCCGTACGCACTCACTCGTAATGTTTTCAAACGTCATGGACTGATCAATTTCCACCACGACCATAGTAGGTAGGTTGGGATCTCGGTGTACATAGCCTAATGGGATAGAAATGACCTGGATCGCAATGAGGGGAGCTCGTTTGGCAGCGATGAAGGGGGAGGAGAGGGAACAGGAGGAGGACCAGACAGAGACCAAAACAACAGCAGTCGAGGAGAGAATCGTGGCGTGGAAGAGATCAAGAGTTTCAGGGCCAGAGAAGAACAATCAATGTCGAAAAGTTGCTGTCAAGACGATAATAGCGAGAGCGATGGACTTGAAAGCAAGGAGGATGATGGTGAAAGCACTCCAAAACCAACTCGAGTGCAAGGTAGCAGCCTTCGTAGACGTGTGCAGTATTCTCTGTCGCTATACCGTTTCCGTCTTTGATCCGGAGAATAGATTAGTCGCCCTCATGCCGCCTCCTCACGGGGTCCCAGTTAATGGTATGTCATTAAATATTGTTTTGTGTTCTCAACCGCGTTGAGACTGACGTCGTTTCATTGATCAGCCAGTTGGCACGGTCGTTGCCAATAATGAACACACACACACACATGACAACAAACCGCGAAATACCACCAGAATCACCGACAACTCGTCGTTCGTTCGCGTGCCTACACACAAACAAGGCGAAGCAATGGACCACCCACGCCGCTCGCGGTGATGGAGATTGAGCCCCCGATCACCTACGTACCAAAGGCTCCCAATGATATGTTCCAGCAAAAAACGTCGGGGACCTCTGAACCACCTACTACCACCAACAGGCCGTTGTAGACGAGAAGGGCCCGGTCATCGACGCCCATTTTCTCCCTCCCGACCGATTCTCATAGAGGCTTTGCGCACAGACTATCCTATGTTGGCCTTGTGCCTTGTGCAGTCTCTGTGTCTGGGTAGTTAGCGGTGCTGCACCACATTCAATAATAATTTGTTTCGGCAACTCCGTCGAGGTTGCGCGAATTGTTTCGAAGCGCACCGGGTGCTGGCCACCAGCTTCACTTATACTCCAGACGAGAGGGGCGGCCGTTTCGTACCAGAATTGGTTGTACGAAACGGATACAATTTTGATTTACCTTGGGAGATACTGATGGTTCCAATCGCCGTGTGGCTGGAAGCGGAACGGAAAATGGCCGCTTGTGCTGATTCGTTCTAGTAATGTACTTATTATGTGGCCACAACGTGGCCGTGCTTAGAGGCACTGTTATCTAGTATGCACTGCTATGATGCTCTCTCCGTCAAAATAGCCTAGCGTATCACCACACGCTACCTGTCTATCAATGTTGCACCCTTGACAACCAACCGTACCTCGCCACCCAATCAAGAGTGAGTGGTTTTCAGAAGCGGGAGGGCACGGTGAACAAAATATGTGTGGTGGCGGCGGCAAGGACGGAGAGGTACGCAGGGTTGCCGTTCGCACTGCTCCGTCCCCCTCTCCATTGGTTGCATGCATAACTTTCAACTACGCTGCTGTTGTCCGTGAGAGAAGCCTCGGGGTGATCATCATTATTATGATCATCATCATCATCATCATCGGCAGCAGCAGCTGCAAAGTGAGTTGGTTGTTCCAGGTAGCAAGACTAGACTATTAGACTAGACTATGCGATATTATCATCGCTTGGGGAGCTTTTCGAATACCACACGGAGCGGCACCAACTGTTCGTGCATACGCACGCCACCCAAGGGTATCTACAGAGGAAACAAAGGTTAAGACTGATGCCAGTGTGTTACATCTATGCGGTGACCCGCCATTTAGTGATTGCAGACGACAGCAGAAGTAGTGGACAGGCCCAACTGCAAGTTTTGGATCCGAAAATCGACAACAAGTTGTTGATGGTGTATGATCTCGTCCGACATCATGAGCGCGACCGCAGGGTTCTGTCGTCTATTTTCGGAAAGTAAGTGTCACCCGTTCGAGCTAATACGCCGTTCGAAGGGATGTGTCGACGCCTTTCTAGCAGTGTTGGGGGTTGAGGGAACACCACAGAGCATAGCATCTAGACTCTCTATGCAGCAGTGTACATCATCAGATCATCAGTACCGGATATGGTTCCGTTTCCGGTTTGCCTACCCTGCTTGGAACCATAATCCGTCCATGTCTGACTCCGGGGATGCCCCTCTCCTGTCCCCAGGACAGCGTCAAGGACACAACAGACATCACTGCACGGGGTCTTAGGGGTCACAAACACGCGGCTGCTCCTCGCCATCTCTACGGCCAGGTAGGTGAGGATGCCGTTATCAATACAACGCAGAAGCAGGCACCTACAAGAGCCGTGTGCCGCTGCTGCTGCGGTTGTTGCGCAGGGTTTATGGGAGACTTGATGTGTGAGATTTGCGACACCACTTTGGGCTCCTTTGGCCGACCGTAGCGACAGGTAGGTGTAAGTGTTGCACCAGGTGTTGCAACGAGGTTCTGATTTGGTGCCCCTGACTGGGAATGCTGCAGCGCCTGCTTCCTGCGAAGAAATACGCAACCCTGGAAGATACGCAAGATAACACCCCCCCCGGGAATGGCTGTTCCCATCTGTGAAAAACTCCGACAAGGAACTACCACAGCAGTAGAAGTGTGTGTCTGGACATTAGCGGCACTGGAAACATATGGCCAACATGAACATAGGGTATGGTATCTCATGTCATTACGTCATGCAGAAAATCGGTTAGACAACTTTTGCTAAACACACCTCGGGACTTGGTACTCATTATTTAGTTTTTGCATGCTCGCCCCACCTCAACCTCGAACTGAACCAGTCCTCTACTACAAACACCCTACATTCTGAAGGACCTTCAATAACAGGAACCATTCCCACCCCCCCCCTAGCGGCGGCGGCAATCGCGCGCGGGGCGACCAAGAAACATGTCGAAGCGCGTCGCGTCCCTTGCCGGCGCGGCCCTCCGGGTGGACGCCCTGCGGGAGGAGGGGAGAGCCGAGCTCGTGGACCTGCTCGAGTCCCTGCCGGGGAGCAAGTGCCTCGTGCTGGAGAGCCACATCGGCGGTCTGTTAAACCACGTCATCCCAGAAGGTTCCAAGGTAAGAAGGCAGACGGGGGGGGGCGTACTCTTGATGTTTTGTGGTATGCCTTAGCTGTTATGCAGACCATTGACCTCGCATCCCGCAATGTCGGGAGGGAGCGATATGGCGGGTGTTCGCCGGCCCAGGCTACAGTACGTTTCACAAGGATGAACCAGAAGCAGGTCATCATCCTCGCGTTTGCTGTCCCGAAACCAGGTACATGGCGGAGGGGGTTCCTTCGGTGTGGCCTCGACCGCGCTAACAATCGGATGGTAACAGTCGCATGACGCGAGAACTGACGTATTGTACGCGTACAGCGGGACAACAAAGTTGTGCGACACCGTTCCCGGCACCGGTCCCCGAGACGACCTCGACAGGGAGGGTGTCGGCGTTGTCTTTACTACGGTTTTCGTGGCTGATACCATTGCCTTTGGTTTTGTTCTTTGTTGTTTTGTTGTAGTCGTTCGGACCTCGGAGAAATGCTGGTTCACGCAATCGTACTGTACTGTTCCCGTCTCTCGCGGTCTCGCTCTCCCTCTCTGTCTGTCTGTCTGTGTGTGTGTG